TGGAAGTCTCCCCGGATAATTTAGGTACGCATTTAAATGCGTCATTTGTTGGGTGACCTTGGTACGTCCTGACGATAGGTAAATGATGAACTTACGAAATCCCTATTTTTGCAATGCCACTTTCTGCACTCACTTTGCCACTACTGCCTCAATTTCCAGTATTCCGCACTAACAGTGCGCAAAGCCGAGGGCTTATAGTCAGGTTTCAAGTTGTGCAAAAGAAGATTGTGCACATTAAGTTTACTGCAGAGATGGTTACCATCTTACACAGATTTTCGGGGGACAAATGAACTATACCTTCACTTCAGTACACGGAGGAATTTCCTTCGAAAGTCCAAAAATATTGCAAAGGAATAAGGGATGCCAATGAATTAACTCATGAGCACAACGGAAGCCCCGAGACTGACAACACATATGCCTCATAATTCCGAGTGATATTACAATAACACCCCACTGGAATTAGAGGTTATCTAATTTCGGCTGAACCGAAATTCCGTTGTTCGTTAACCGGTGAAGTGTATAACAGGAAATTACTTCACAACTGTTGGGAAGTACTTCCTGTTGTACACTTCAACGGTGAATGTACAACAAAGGGATTTTGGTGATTAGGCTCCATGGAGCAAGACATTCAAAGAATTATTTTCATAATCATTATCACCATCATCGTCATTATCAGCATCTGTAAAAAAGCGCGCACTTGTTGCACAATGGTGACGAGTTTGTGTGGTAAATCGCCTCACACTGGAGGCGGCAGCTGATATGATTGGTGCGTAAATATAGGGCTATCAGTAGACCTGCCATTCGGGAGGCTATGCATTGAAGACAGTAACTTAGATGCACGGGCGCCACTGAGGGTGCGCCTGGGCCATGTCTAGCAAAGCCTCTAGCTATCGCTGCGTCATGTCTCCTGGTCTCCATCCAAGGAGATGGTAATGACCAGCACGAATGAGTTCTTTGCAAGTGAGTCGCCAAATCATTTTTCGGTGTTCCCTGATCACTTTCTGCCTTTTGAGTTTTTTGTGCGCAAAGACCCCCTCGAGAAATTGGTCGACTGGCATACGGAGCGTGTGAAAAAGCCAGTGTAACATATGGAGGTTGACCAGTTTATCTGCCGTGGGCGTGTTTCTCTTCCAAAACACTTCGACGTACTTCAAAATTACTGATCCAGTGTTCCAATCAGATTCGAGAAATGCTCTGTGGGAATCGTTGGCCAGACAGCGGAATGCAGGCTTCTGGCCTTAAAAATGACACGAACAGCACGGCAGTTTTACAAACTCGATCATTGACGGAGAAGCTGATGTCGTCTTAACGCCACAGGTGGTGCACTTTCACAAAAATTGTTCTGACCTTCCCAATCCGGATATAAACATCATATTTCGTGGTACAACAGGTACTGATACACTTGTTTAGGTAGACACATTTGTATACTGCCTGAATCGGCTCACCCGTGGGCATGAGGTTAGACCTCGCGCCCCTCAGTCGTTTGGAAGCTCTATAAACCTTGCGGGTGTTAATCGCACGTCAAATCGGCGCAAGAATCATTGTGTTTGTTTAATATTTTTTGGAGTTAAACGATGTCGAATCGAAGACGAACAATGCTTTCTGCGTACTCGGTAGATGTAAGCAAACGCCCCGGGAATACTCCGATCCTGACAGATCTTAGAGGCTAGTTGCGAGTCCTACGTATCTCATCAGTAAAGAAGTTGAAGGAGAACGGTGATTAAAGACAGACTTCCTAACAACACGTGTTGTGGTGAACTCAAGCCGAAGATTCCCGGAGACTCACATATCCTTGAGAGTTGGCAAACAGGTCCTTAAGGAGAGACATGAATATAAGAGGGACACCTGTGGTTTATAGACACTGCCATAATATCCGATGGTATACAGAGTTAGAGGCGGGATTTATGTTAAAACGCCAACATTGTTTCACTCCTGGAAACGTTGTAGCCGTTGATGAAGTTTGAGAATGTGATTAATGTCTCATCCTACAGGACGAAATCCAGCATCGCTTTCCAGGATCTCTCTTTCTGTGTTCAGTCAATCTTCAGTAGACAGGATTGGAGAACGCCCAATTCTACAAGGCCGATGCCACGGTGGCTTTTACATGACGTACACGCTCCCCTCTTGAAGACATAAACAACTGAGTACATGTCCTATTGTGCTCAATCTTTTCGTATCATGGAGCACCTATGATTTGCATTAGAAAGGTTACCGAGGATTCTTTGCGTCCATAAAAACGGCTTTATACAGCCCGTGAATTCATAAGTTTAAGTATCAACAATTTGTGTACTATTTTGTTGTATGAGAAATGAAGATTCACAATCCACTTATCTGCATGCAATATCAGCAGAGGCTTTTTATCAGGAATCCAGTTAAAATGTCCGTCGATTAGTTCCACACGTCTTTCCAGGCAAGATTTTTGCGTTAATAATGAGACGTTGTTCCCATTTACGGTCCTATTGTCCGTGTGTTTTTATAAGGAGAACACAAAACAACCTGTCCATGGACAATTGTTTTTGTTGTGACAGGTTTAATTGATCCTGCTTCACTTGCGTTTGACAAATGAGTTCTATTTTAGTAGCACATTTTGGCTGGCCTAGAACTTTCCACGTGGGCTTTATAAACAACCAGTTTTTGACTGCACATGAAACGCTTGTACGCTTCAGTGTTCAATAGATCAGCTGATTTGCACGTTCATTGGCTTTCTGAGTTGGTTAGGCGCGTTAAGCTACCAAGAGACTTTTCAAACTTGAGTTCCCGTTATTTAAAATATATTAAGAAATTTATGGTGCACAACATGGTTTATGTAAACAACTGATTTCGATTTTGCAACAACAGTAGGCAAACTCTGAAGAGTCTCAGTTGCGATCAGTCGAAGCAATCCTTTACAAACCAGGAAGTCAAAGCCCAGCCTCAGTTGAAACAAAGAATTTCTCTGTTGAAGCTGTTGCAAACAGTATGACTGAGTTTCACCACGATGCAGAATCCAATCCTACTTTTAAATCATGGTTTCAAACATCTTCTGGCTGAATTTTTGGATTTGGAGCTTGTTAGACCAAACAGTGGTAACCATCTTACGTATGCAAGCGTGGTGAACCGCAAATGTGAAAGATTCAAACTCAGAGTAATAACACAGGACCAGTTTAAATGCGTCATCTTTACCCTACAGCCACCACTAGATGCCGATTTCTAACCTCGATTCCTCAGCAAGACTGAGCGGAATTCGTCACTAAACCTTCAGGCGATCACCACGGAGTGCAAAAGTTTGTTTATGCATGATACAATCATGATAAAACATAATGACTTATCTTAGTCTGGCTATGTGCATATCGTTTTGAAGATTATTCAGAGGCCAGGTGCAAAGAATTAATTGGCAGAGTTCAGTAAGCCACCCACAGCTTGCTGGCAAATCAGTAAATAGCATTTGTCCTTTTCGCCTTTTCAAAGAGCACCAATGTCGTAAGTGCCACAAAAGAGGACACAAAGAAGAGTGTTTGCGCACAAATTTCTCCAAAATAGACAACAGATTATTGGAACGAAGAGCGCGTCTTTCAAAGCCACACTTTAAGCCAGTAAGGGGAATTTCCAACCCGGACTAGAAAAGTCAGATGTAACTTGTGTCAACTGTCCCAAATGACACACCAATACGTCCAAAACCAGATGCAATCTTTTACAAAGATAGCTGGAAAAAAGTGGGTGAATCACATTTAAACTCCACCGGTTGTGTTGCTCTAAACGATTCTGGTGGATAATTGCAGTTGACTGTTGAACTTTCTTGTGCAACAATGTTCTTTTTACTGGAATATGTTACCTGAGCAATTTACCATATTCGGACCTCCTTGGCCTGAACTGGATCGAAAGACTAAATCTGGTGGGAATTTCTTTAAACGCCGTAAACACCTTTATGAATTTGGATATCTCTCAAACCTCAAGATGGACAAAACAACTTTTGAAAACTTATTTAACTGTGTTCAACTAGGAGAACCGTTCTGTTTCTGCGTCAGAATGCAAGACTTGTGTTCAGCCCAAAAAGGATTATTCCATGCACTGTCTTGCCTGTATTTGATCAAGAGATACAGAAATTACAAAGCGGGGGAGTTATTGAAC